AGTTGCAATTTCTTTGGTTCTTAGTTTGACAATTTTTCTTTGCAAGTCGAATGTTGTCGCTAACTTTTTGTAAAAACCTTTTTTTATCTGTTATTTTTTTTTATCTGTTATTTGTTATTATTTATTGTGCACATTTTTATCATTATATACACATTTCCAGTTCTCCCTCATCGTTGAACATCCGTCGTCCCGACCCTGTCGGAGATCCGCTAAGGACGGAGGCGGCGGATAGAAGAAAGAGAGAGAGAGAGAGAGCGAAGAATAGACGACGAAGTCGGCAACAGAAGACATCGAGAGACAGTTCAGTGGCCCTCCTCCTCCCTTCGCGTCGCACCTTACAGTAAAGGCCACCAGCTCCTTGTCCTATTTTTGACGTCATCGGCGGTGAAGGCAGACAAGGGGGTGGCACGCGCGCATGCGCGCACGCTTGTTCACCAAGATGGTGAACGTCCTCCTGTGCGAGGACCGACTCTCACTTGAAACGGTCCACTACGGTAGCGAGCGGCGGCAAAGCGGAGCGGAGCGAAGACAAGTTCTCTCGCCGAATAAAAGCGCGCGCACTACGTTTAACGAAGCTCCTCGGGAATCGTTTTCTTCCTTGTTTTTTTTTTTTTTTTATTCACAATCCTCTCTTCTTCTCGTTTTGCTCGCTCTCGTATGTTCGTTTTGCGCGCTCGCGGACTCGCGCGCGCGTAAGCAGCCGCAGTAAGTGCGCGTAGCCGTCGCGAGTGGAAATCCTATACTCGCAGAGATTTCTCTGTTCTCTTTCTTTTCTTTTTTTATTTTTGTTTTTTTTTTTCAAGTGCGCGCCGCAAGAACCAGCCGTTGTTCTTCGACGTCACCGATGATCGGTGTGATTCGCTGATATCGCCGAAATATTACATCGCGGATGACGACGACGGATTGTTCCCCGCGAGGAACAGGCCGTGCCGCGAGCTAAGCGCAACTTTCGCCGATTATGGATAGGTGAGAGCGCGCGCGCGCGCGGTGACGAGACGTGCCGTGTATCGAGCAACCGCGAGTGTCTATCTCGACGTGCCCGAAGAGTTCGCGAGTATTATTGAAGACACGACGGTGGAGGAGGCGATCGCGGGGCGCCCGTGCTCAACAGGCGCTGTCACTCGATAAAGGTACGTATAGATGATAATCGCGGAATCGGGAACGCGCGCGCGCACGACATATGGAGAACTATATGTGACAGGAATGAGAGGGTGAGCAAGTGTCATCTTCTCGTCGAGGAACCTCCCGACGGGGGAATCCTGTCGGAGCGGTGGAATGTCAAGCGCGCGGCGCGGCGAAACGTCGTATGTGAAAAAAAAAAAAAAAAAAAAAAAATACAAACACAATAAAAATGAGTACAACTGTGCGTACAAATCTACATGCACGCGTGAGGTATGTGAGAACACATACCTCAACTAACGTATTTTCGCAGCGAGGATGATCGTGCGCGCGGATCGGAGCGCACGACGCCGCGCGTCGTGTTTCGTTTAGATCATCGTCGTCGTCGTCGTCGTCGTCGTCGTCGAGCTCACCGACCGACCGTGGGCGCGACATTTGCTTACGTGCAGCAATACATTCTTGCCGTGGAAGCCGCGAGGAAGGAGAATGATCGGGCGAGCGAGCAATGTGAAAGTGAGTTCTGCTCGCGGACCGTGCCACCCGAACGCCGATACAGTTCAGCTCTGAACCAGTCGCGAAGTCAAGGCCCTCTTTTCTTCTAGGTTTAATGCAGAAGAGTTCCTTCGCCGCTCGGCTGCGTATGCAATTTTAAAACGACGACACGCACACGCCTTCCTCGCGGGTTTCCTTATCGCGCGTATGCGCGCGACACGTATTCGTACGTGTATTCGTGAATTTGTTTTGCGCGAAACCTCGATTCGTTAAAAATTGTCGGTCGGAAAAAGCTGCAGGCCTCGACGTGGTGTGATTTTTCGCGAGGGCGCGTGAACCGGAATTTCTGCCGTTCATTTCGCGTGTCCCGCAAGAGAGCAACAGCATAAGCGTGTTTCGCGAACTACTGTACCACCGTCGCCGCCGCGACCGACGCGATGTCGTAACATTTTTTCCTCCTCGTTTTCTCGCTCTCCTTTTCCTTCCTTCGGTATAATCGCGTGTCGTCACACAAAAACGGCGCAACACTTAAGGGAGTAACTCCGAGAGCGATATATTCCCGAGGGGTCTAGAACACGAACTCCGTTGTTATTAATCGCAGCCCCCCTCCCGAGCGGCGGGCCGACACAAATCGATGTGTTTTCTCCGTTGTTAATCAATGATAAATGTGGAACCATGTGGCCTGTTTACCTGGCTCTTACCAGCGCCTGCTCGCAAAGTTAGCTCGCGCCTATTTCTCCACAATCTTTTTTTCATGTTAAATTGTCGTGTCAAAAAAGGGACGAAGAGTTATTAATTATCAGAAAGATACGCGTGTTTTTACGTGATCTCACAAAATGCGCCAACCGCGCACAGATCCGGTCTCGGGGGAATCCCATCGCGAAAACGGGTATTCGCGGGCAGAAAGATTGAGAAGAAAAAAAAAATCGGTATAAATTTCACGCGCGCAAAGTTCACGCACTTCGATATGTTCGATAACCGCACGTGTGTGTCTCGCGTTTGTTTTTTTTTTTTTTTGTTTTTTTTTTTTATTCGTCCGACGAAAAAAGCGGCGAGGTGATCGACGGCGCGCAATGAGATTTTCCGTCTCATTGCGGCGTTACACGAAATCGGAAACGGATCGGATAAGAGAGATCGAAACCCTCGCCGGGAAACGGTCGGGAATCGTAATCTCACCGACATCGCCGTACCGGTTTCCGATCTATGATTCGCGCCACGCCACGCGAGTCGATGCGATTGCGAGATTGGACTTTCGCGCAAGCGGCGCGGCGCGGCCGGCATAATCGTGAAAGCCGCGCCGCGCGCGCGCGAGGCCGTAAGCGGCCTACTGCAAGCTGCGTATTACCGCGTATACATACATATGTGCGTACTCCTGCTTCCGCAGCGGCGAATTCCTTGCTTTCTATCGAACCTAAGTCTGAAACGACGTCTGCACTAAACACACGCTGCGTGTGGAACGTGTTTCACGCTTGACGTGCGTCGTGCCGCGTGTCGTTCGATTGTTTATCCATTTCGCGCATGCACAGAGATTGTGTCTCACAATCTCCGTTTTTCTCGGACGCGACGCGGGTTACATATTACCGTGAAGAAAAAAAGAAATGCGAACGATCGAAGGCCGATCGCTCCGCGTTTCCTACCGCGATTCGAAATCGAATTCCACGGTGAAAGGTTCTAATGATTAAGTCCTTTTAAATCAGTCCCCCGAAACCGAGAGACCGTCTCGATGAAGTCTCAAGGAGAAATTCGACGAACGAACACCAATACACCAAAGTTCGTCACGAGAGATTCTTGCTTGCCACATCGCGTAGGCTCTGCCAATAAAATTAAAACTACGAATCGGCTAAGCGCTTCGAAACGTCGAAACTTTCTTATGAGAAAATTTATCTATATTCGTTGTTTCTCGATAATCCAAATGAGAAAGAATCGAACGTGCGCTAAGTTGTCGTCAGAATAAAATTGTCATTGCTTGATCGTCAATATATGGGTATTGAGTCATGTGACCGGTATTGGCAATTGCGTGGGAAAATCACATTCTGTGTTTCGAATTCACACATTTAATATATTGTATATATTATCGATAAAAAATAACGGAGTTCGAAATAACGGAGTTAAATTTCGGATTTTCTTTCGACACCGTTAAAATCCCGAATCGAATATCAAATGTAGCGCGCTTCTACATCTCTTTAATTTATTAATTAAAAAAAAAAAAGAAAAAAATAGATGAGACATACTTCTGTTTCTGTGCCATTTCTCGCACACGTGTGGTAGAAAGGAGATTGTAACTTTTATGAAGCATCGATTGTGCGCTTATATCTCGTAAGACTTGTGTAACAATAATTATCGTCGGAGATCGAGGAAAAGGCCGACGCTTGTAAAAAAAAAAAACACACGGCCAAACTTATTTCGAATACAATCAAGTCTGTGTCATCATCATTATCATCATCATCATCGTCGTCGTCATCATCACGGATCATTAATTGGATGTTAAGTAACTTGTTACAAAGTTTATAAATTTATTTCTATGAAAGCCTCCCGCGAGAAGAAAAACAATCTGTTACGGATGATAGGAATTGTCGTACACGAATGGCATTTTGCCGCCGTTACTCGTCATTGGCGTTTTTTCTTCATCGAGTTCGTAATTGAATGTGCGAATTGAACAGAGACGTCGAAGTTTCTCTCTCGATAGAGCCGCACACAGATTTATTAGCGACACGAATGATCGGCGTGTCGTATACGCGCAAAAGTCCCGCGCTTAATTCTCACACTCCCTTAATTGTAGCTCAGCGCGCTTCTTTCGTCGTTTTAAACACTTATACGACGTAGGTGTGTTTCGCGACAGGGTTGTCTTTCCATGAAGAATGGTGCAATGTGTGTGCGTGAATACTTGGCCGAGTATAACCAGTTTCCTTCCACTGCTTGAAAACTCGCTGTGTTGCACTCATCGAAGTCACTCGGCGAGTTGAGTGAGGCTTGGCGAAAGAAGAGAAAGAGAGAGAAAGAGAGAGAGAGAGAGAGACGGAGACGGAGATCGTAAACGAGCACGAGTGAGAAAGACAATGAGCGAATGGGCGAGAGTGAGGAATAAAGTAGTGCGAGATAGAATGGCGGATGAAAGGAAGAAAAGGGTATAAAAGCGAGGTGGGAGGAGGAGGAGGAGGAGGAGGAGGAAAAGAAGAAGAAATGTAGACAGAAATTATCGGAAAGAATGCGACAAAATGATAAGGCAAATTAGCGAACAAAGACTCACGACACAAATGTGAAGAACAAGTCATAAGAGAAGATGCGCGATGAAAGCGAAGACAAAGAGAGAGAGAGAAGCAAAAAAGGAAAAAAGACACACGAGAGACTGACAAAAATTACGATAAAAAAAGCGCATAAAAATAATGGAAGAAGATAAAGAGAAGAAGCAAAGAGAAAAAACGCTGATTTAAAGAGCCGATAGAATCAGAAAGAGAGAGAGAAAAAAAATCAAGAATACATGAAGAAATACACGAAGGAGGAATGGAGAATTGAAAGAGATTCCTCACGAGATAAAGGAATGAGGAGGTAAAACGCGTCTTAAGGGAGGAGAAGAGACGTGACACCCTCGTAACACAGCCCCGGAGAACGGAGAAGAGACGAATGTTGAAAAGTTGAAGAGAATCGCGGAGAAACGGGGAAACACACAGAGGAGGCGGTGAAACAGCGATCTCGAGAATCGAACGGAGAGAGGTGGAGGAGAGAAAGAGCGTGCGAATGGTAGGAAAGTGCGCGTGTGTGTTTGTACGTGCCGCGCGCGAACGTACACCATCATCGAACCTCCGAGAGTGGCGGCCACGCCGCCGATTTCTCGGAGAGAGAACGGGAAGGTGGGGGTCCTTCGGTGTGTGTGTATATACCCCGGCCACAGGCCGTGTTAGACGCCGCCGTTGGTCGTGTACAACAGCCTTCGCATTCTTCGGAGAAGTGAAAGCAGTTTCAGGGAAATTCTGGTGGCGACCGAGCACAGGCATTCGTTCGTTCGTATTTCGCGTACGCTTCGTTCGTAAAGCCGAAAGCGGAGAATTGGTCGCTCGTGTGTTTGTTTTCTCCGCGCTTTGGTCAAAACCGCGGAATAATCGAATTCAAGCGCGCTAAACGAATTCGATCGAGAGAGTCTGGGGGGGGGAAAAAAAAAAAACCAAATCTTTCCCTTGTCTTTTTTTTTTCCACCAGACAGTATCTCGAGATTTTGTTACGAAACGGTAAATAATTTTCTGTGAACGTACACGCAGAAACGAGAGACGTTATGCGCGCGTCGTACGCGCGAAACAGATGGCGAGTTATTATTCGTACGCGATTTTGTGCCCCGCGGTGAGATAATGGACAAGCGCCATGAGGCACCCGCTGCTACTACGTGGAGAACCGTGTTGCGAAATCGTCGTCACAGGAGAATAGAAAATCGTTGTGCTTGTGAGTCAGAAATATTTGACGATTCGTTTTTTTCTTTATTGCATTCTCTTGTTTAGAATTATAATTCTCTTTTCCCTAAGCAGATGGTAGATGGCCAACCACGCTCGCTCTTTCACAAACGCGGAGACTCTTTCACCGCCGCTCGCTACAAAGAACGTTCAGTTGTTACGTAAATGTTGCATCATTACGTCAATTATTTTCTTCTTATCTTCGATATCGCTGTAAAAAAAAAACAAACAAACAAACACTTTTGTTCTAAAATTCTCTCTCTGTCTCGCGAGAGAATGATTGTCTCACAAAAAATGATTTTTTTCGCCAAAACATCTGAAACCTACTTCTTTGAAATCGAAGACACGAGAAAATTTGTAAAACAAACTAAACTTTATGCAATTTATAAAAAAAATACAAGTAAGAAATTTATCAAATGTTTTTACGTATATATTATACATATTTTTTTTTTTTTTTACATACATGCTTGAGTTTTTTTTTATTTATCTCTCAATGTTTAATAACATCTTGATGTATTTGATGTAACATTCTGATCGGTAAGCGCGCATCTTTTTCATATATTCTCGTCACTATTTTAACGAGATCGAAGAGATCTGAGAGATTTAATTTATTTTCCGCAACCGTGGAGCCGTCGAAGTAAATGAAAGTCGCGCTCGACTTCTTTCTAAACACCGTCAAATCAGTCAACCGCGACTTGCGGCTCTCGGCCGCGTTCGATCCACACCCGAAACCCCGTATACCTAGTACTGGACACGACACTTTCGGAAATCCCCGTCAATCACGAAACCTGTATCTCACTCGCCATTTTATCTTGTCGCAGGTCGCAGGGAGAGAGAGAGAGAGAGAGAGAGAGAGAGAGAGAGAGAGAGAGAGAGAGAGAGAGAGTTCGCGTCGAACGCGCGGTTTCTTTTGGTATTTTTTTTTGTCACGCTGATTGTTTCCGTCACGCGTCTTTCCGATGAGACATCGATGAGGTTGTCGCCTTGACGCGCGAAATTCCACCGGTTTGAGCTGTGAGGTGATCGGAATCCGACCTTCTCGTCGACGGTAACGTGTCGGACGACGCGCTACGCGTTTTTCGGGGATTTAACCCGGACGAACGACCGTCCGACTGTTGCGTGCCGTAACTACTTAAACGACATTACGGTATCTTCGCCCATACGAGGCGCGTTGTATCCACACGCATTGAATGCGTTTGAAGTTACGATTAAATAGCGGGTACGGTGTATCGATTTATATATCGGGAAGTAACGTTCGAAACGACACGAGACGATCAGTGAGTCTCGCGAGTCTCGATGTGCAAGTTTCTCGACGTCGAGCGGACACGTGAATATATCTTCGGAACAATCCCTCCTATTTTAAGTACAGGTAAATATTTTTTTTATTATTTTTTATCAAAAAAGCATACTCAAGAAGATGATACTTAGGAATTGGAAATGTAGAATACAATAAAATAAAACTAGAACAGAATGAAATTGCTTCAAATTGCTTCAAATTGTTTTGTTAAGTGGATCGGTGCACTTCAAAGTTGTAAAAAGAAATGAAAAGGAGAGAGAAAGAGAGAGAGATTTGTGTCTACTTTTTTCTTCATTAAGATGCGACTATAAAAGATTTGCGCGCGAAGAAGTGGAATTGTGAAAGTCAATTCGAATAGTCGGTCATAGTCAGCGATAACGCATCTAATAACATTTTCGCGATGCCGGAAGCTCGCGGTAAATCAAGCGTGCTCCACCTGCGTCTAATGTCGCTTCGATAAATCCGACTTGTCCACTCTCGCATAAATTTTCTTAAATTCCTCAGAGAGAAGCAACGTTGTGTTTCCTGACTTTCGCATTTCTTTCCAAGAGAGCCGGAACAAAAACAAATTTCCTCAAAATTAATTGGAACGAGACCAATTTATACGTGCATTCTTGATTGTACGCGTACTTTTACATTCTTGTGATATTATTTATCTTGTAATTGTGCCGTACCCTTTTATTAAAAGTAAATTTATGTTTAATCGAAAGTAATTCTTAATTTTCGTAATAATTCACAAGGATGACAGAGAAAGAGAGAGAGACAGAGAGAGAGACAGAGAGACATTACGGCGTGTACTAGAAAATTCAAAGAATTTTCTCCGCGATTGATGTTCATTACAATGAACCTCGTCAGGATCAGAAAAGGTCAACGACGGAGAAAATAGCGAAATGGCATTACACATAATTCCCTCGGACGTGAAGATCAGCTGAAATGACGTCACGTTACGAAGCCGGATTTAAGTTCCGCCCACTATCGCACATACGCGTGTATATGCACGCACGCATGCGTGCCTCTATACGTGCTGCGAATTGCGTTACGTGGAGTCATGTCGAATATGTCCCGTAAATCGCGGCAACGATTTTTTTTTTCACCTTCGCCATCCGGTCGCAAGTCGCTTCGCGTTATATCTGCGAAGCGACTGGCAAAATAAGCCATACAACCGCTGATAGCAACGTGTCTGTGTGATATCGGACGTTAAATACTCAGGCGCCGTTTCGAGCGTGGGACCCGAGATTTCTTTTCCTCATATCTTCCGTTTTACGTTGCGCGCGCGCGCGCGCTAAACGTTCATCCTGTATATGGAATGCGCCAATGAAATTTGTTTATGAAGATACTTATGCTTACGTTGAACTTGTTGCGTTCATTCATGAGAATCAAGATGACGCGGCGTCAAAATAATGACAGACAAGAAGTTTGTTTATTTGAACAATACACAATACTTCGATTCTCTCTCTCGTTTTCTTTTATGTTCGACGGTCGCTCAAAAATGTACAGTCTGGTATGAAGTTAGAAGTCATGCGGTTCTTTTTTTTTTTTTCTTTTTACTTTGGAACGCGCGTGAATTAACGACGTGATAAAACAAGACGCGTTTGAATATGATTTCTGCAAGTAATGCAAGATTAAAGAAAACGAGAAAAGAGAATCGTCGCTTGTCTGCGCGTTTCAAAAAAAAAAAAAAAAAAAAGCGAAGAGTTTCACAACCGCGATATCTTTCAACTTGTCAGCCAGATTTTTTCTTCTCACTCGAAATGAAGCAGAAAATAAATTTTAGCTCCCCTTTATGTGTCTTTTGTTTTCAGATTAAATATCAAGTCGCACAAAATGGTGTCGAGACGGAAGATACTTTCGCGCTCGCGAGATAATCTCGTGGAATCGCAGTACGAGGATCAAGACGAGGAAGACGTGTGGTATAATTTGGACAAATTGTACAAGGTAATTTGTTATTATTACGCGTAACATTTTTTTTTTTAACGGGTTTTTGCGTAAAAAACCGCGACGTTTAATGTCGTGCTTCTCAATGTCGGCACCTCTCATGCTTAAAATTCGTTTGCTTGCTAGGATCACATACAGGAAGTCTTAGACAAATGGAATCAAATAGACGACGAAATTTGGGCGAAGGTAATTGTTTTCGAGAGAAACAGACGAGTCGCGAAAGCGTACGCCAGAGCGCCCGTTCTGACGATAAACGGCTCGAACGACGGATTCGACGGATTCAGGTAATATAACATACAAGCAATATAAAAAAACAGTTTTCTTCTCGCTGTTTATATACAACATAGTTTTGCGTTAAAATATATAAACAGTTGTGTGTTTCAATAATTTCTCGGAAGTTGTAAATTTTACCGGCTGGTGAATCTGGAACAAGTTACGGAATTCGCGGTTCATGAACAATGACGTAAAACAGTTTCTACTTTTTAATTTTACATGAAGATAAACACAGAAATTAGCACGCGAGGAGTCGCGTTAATTAAAATTACATGTTATTACGCACGTTTTTTTTTTTTTACATTCACGTGGTGTGTTAATTTGTTATTACAGGATAGGACTTTGTGGATTTGACAATCCCATGCGGGATCCGAAAACGGAAGAGGCGAAACGTCACATTAATCAGGGTGTGAAGATAAAGATGGACGAGCAGGGCAACATTCTCATCAAGAGATTGTGCAAGAACAACGTGTACGTCAAATCGACGAATCAGGAGGACAACGCGATCGGTTCGGAGATCATACGGAATTCGCAGGGCGCGCTCGAGCACGAGAAACCCGGAAAGGTGAAAAACCATCGAATATGTTTTCTTTGCCAGTATTCGGGATCGTCCGGATGCGCGCATCCGGATTTTTCGCGTGAAAAAAAAAAAACATTTGTCGGTGAGAGCATCGAAACAGGTCAACCGCGCGCGCAAGGTGTGGCTCTGTTTCTCTCAATTAGAAGAAAAAAAAAACCTTTGAAAAGAGACATAAATCGCGTCGAGATTTTCTTCGCTTTGCGCGCGCGAGAAAATCGGTACGTCGGTTTTTATCATGATGTTCAGAGGGGAATGCATGTTGCCGGAGAAAACCATCGCTTTTCTCATTAAAAAACTATCCCGAGCAACCAAAGCGTGTAATAAGAGGCATTTAAATCTCCTTATCTGCATGAAATCATACACAACGCGCGTGCGCACTCGATACGAAAAGAAAGCGAAATATATCATAAATACATATATATATTCTTCCTGTAAACAAATATAGATTAAAATTCATAGTTGTAGTCATAGCTTGATAATTTATTTACATTCCTCTGCATCGGTAATATGTATTTGTTTGTGTTATTTCTTGAAAATAAAATTGTTAATGCGTTCTAATGTTGACGGATACTAAGCGATGATGTTTTTTTTTCGCTTTCCAGCTGTTCGATATGAATAAATTCCAAACGAATCTATCGCGAGAAACACGGAGAGCTTACCCGGACAGACGACGATTGGAGATGCAATGTCTGAGCGCGATAATATTCGTGAGAACGGAAGCCGATTTGCTTCAGTGTCCGGTCTGGGTGCTCATCGTCAATGTAGTCGGACTGGATATGCTCAAATCGAAGCTCCCACCAGGTATACTGTCCGAATGACAGTTCACAATCGGTGTTAAATAATAACAATGCAGATTTCAAATAATTTAAATAATCTCTCTGTTTTGTTGTTGTACTTCAGTTTTAGCGCTCCAAAGGCCGGTGGACATAAAGAATAGACCTAGAATACCAATTCCGGACGAAGATCCCTACAGCGTGGCCGGCGTGTCGTCCGTAGGTCCTAGCGAAATAATGTCAACGGACAGAGATTCACGGGAGCAGATCTACGTGCAATCAACGAGTTACCAGCAGCGCCGCGCGGAAAAACCACCGAAATTGCCTCCTAGAGAGAATCTCTACGGCCATGGTATTCCCAAAGTGAGTATTAAAAAACGTTTTATGTATACGCGCATCTCTCCGTGTATCATGTTGACGAGCAATAAGTGTCATGTTTTTGTCATGTGTCATGTCTTATATCGTTGCAGCCTGACTACGACGATATAGAGGACGATTACAGCAGAGCGATAAAACATCCCATAATGAACGATGAGAAGCGAAGTAAACACGACGATAGAAAAAAATATGGTTGGTAAAACGTGTTCTTATGTTTACAAACAATTTAAAAAAATTGTATACATAACATGTATCCAGAAAATTAAATTTGAAAGCTTTGCATCGCAATCCTTGTGTTTCTAGACGATCCGTATTATTGCGGTTTGCGAGCGCGCGTGCCCAATTTTGTGAAAATGGCGAGAAACGGTCAGAGTAAAGTAACGGGACCGCCGCCTCCTCGAGGACATCCCAGGACACAGCCGGCGCCGTCCTACGCGGGCGCCGCGTACGCTAGTAGTCAATCCTCTCAAATATACGGACATCTACCTGCACATCGGCCACCCATTATGTATCATGCCAGAAGCTTCGAAAGCGGACTTGGTGAGTAAAATTATACGATAATTTATCTTTCTACAGTTTTTTTATATAGAAATTTATATTTGTTATAAGTATCGACATATAAATAGATTAGTCCAACACAAAGACGTTAATTTTTATTGTAGTACACATCGACAACAGTCTCCCGACCCGTTCATGTGTGATTTCAGTGTTTTATATATTATTTTTATTCTCTTTTTTTATTTAATGTAGTCGCATAAACTATTCTACAACATACTTTTTAAATGTCTTATACTTTAAAATAGTGATTTATATATTTAGCAATAATTATTACTGTACTTTCTCAGATTCGGACATCAGGAACGAGTCACCGTACAACCACATATACGGAAGGTTACCGATCCCAACAAGAGGCGTAATACCTCCGACTCCGCGTGCTATGTATATTGGAGAGTGGGATTAGATGTAAGAAAAATATCTCTTTAGCGTTTTGTACTTATAAGCTCTGTATATTGTTAATATACCACATAAATACTCATATTTTTTATGCTAGCATGTGTGTATATATTTATTTGTTTCAAACCCCTACCTAAAACTACAAATTAAACGTAAAAATTACCGACTAAAGTAAGCAGAGAAAAATTAATTGTTTTAACAGAACGTGTACAGAACGTAAACTCTGTACTTTTTTATATTTCTTAATTTATTTTAATGTGAGATAATTTGTTTTCAAAAAAAAAAATATCTTTCCCGTGTTCATAGATGCACGAAATAAAACAAAATACTTGATTAATAATTAAAAATAACAGCTTTAATTTGCGCGGCTACAAAATTACAAAAATTACTCGGGCTCGAGGCAACGCGGAAAACAGCTGTTTACTTTCTCGCTCGTCGACTGAGACGCAGTCCGATTATCATATGTTTTTCTCGCGTCAAAGATACAGAGCTGTGCTCCGATTCCTCACCCGAGTGCATCCGAGTGTCATTTTCTTCTTTGTTTCATATCTAGTGAGTGATAAAGATAAAGTATACCCGGATGAGGAATCGGAACTCATTGTCAGTGAGGATTCCCACTCTTGTCAAAATCGCTAGCATCGACCACCGACGGCTTTCCAACAATCGCTCAGTTAAAAAAGTATCAAAACTTGCTGAATTTTATTATAAATAAAAAAGAATTTAAATTATAAATAAAAAGAAATTTAAATTCTATCCAGTCTAATGTGTACTTAAATATTTAAATTTTTTTAAATAAAACAATAATTTAAATTTAAATTTAAATAAAATTTTAATAAAAAAATTCAAATCATATTTAGAACAGAACCTTTATAGTGAAAAAATTTTTGTTACGCAACACTATGATGTTCTATACATAATAGCCCGTGATTGACAAAAAGTAAAATTGATCTTGCAAGTTCTAATGTACGCTTTGCGAGACGGTTGGTTTTTATGCACGAAATGACTGTGTTAAATACCGCTGAGATGGTTCGAGTTTTTGCTAAGAGAGAGATACGTTACGTCGCGGAAATCAGCTGATCAGTTTTATCATTGAGAGTAACTGACGGTGTGTGTGAGGCCAGTTTGCATGACTTGCGCAACGAATACACAGCAATAAGTGGCAGTGATTTTACATGGTAGCGATTTAAGATAATAATTGCCGTTGTGATTCACGCCATTGTCCGCAGATATAAAAAAAACATGTGATCATAATAATATTCACTGGATTAACACGGATATATCAGACTATGAAAGGACACAATGACGTATATATAGAGTGTATATATATTTATACATTTTTCGATATGTATAAAACCTTGAACAAAGAAACGAATGACAGCTTTAACAAGAGATACGTTTCGCGCAGTTGCTTATAGTTGAGACATAAGTAGTTACAGTCAGAAAGTAAAAAAACATAAGTAGTTACAGCCAGTAAGAAAAAAAAAACAAGTGTGCAACAAAGTGTGTACATTTTCTCGTCGCAAGATTTTGGGTTCTTATCGAATGGAATAGTTATGCAGATGGAAGTGAGTTATAAATTTTCGATGAATAATTAGTTTGCAAAATAAAATGGATCGAGTTATAACAGGATGGAAACGTTACATGTTAGTGCAACCACCTATTCTCCTGGTCTTAATTGCCTTATCAATGTCTGGTAAGAAGTTAATCTCTTATAGATAACAAGTTTTTATTTTGTGTGTGTGTGTGTGTCTGTATATATATATATATATATACATATATATATATATGTATAATTATTTTCTTTTAGGTGCTATCTTCACAAATCTGATAGTGTATCGCACTTGCATATCAATGAAAATAAACGAGACAGAGTGTTTATTACTCAATACAAATAGCAGCAGTAAAGAAGCTATCAAAATAAATTCCAAGGTACAGCCGTATGCTAGTGTAATTCTGATGAGCAAATCCTTCGTCGAAAGTATCTTCCCTTCGGTGCTTTCTTTGTTTTTGGGACCATGGAGCGACAAGTACGGGAGAAAACCTGTGATATTATCAGGTTATATAGGTAAATGGATAACAAATATGTCATTGCTCTAAAAACGCTAGACAAAGGCTGTCTTTATTGATGCGCATAGCATCAGGTAGTGGTCTAGTAGTGGCAGCGTCTAGTAGTGGGATTTAGAAAAAAAAAAAATTTATTTAAAAGCTATTATTCAATTTTTATAGGTATATCTTTAACTTTCCTTCTCATTGCCGTAATGAGTGATCTGAACGTTTCGCCTTGGTATTTTTTGATAGCTTATATTCCTATTGGCCTGCTAGGCGGTATATATGTATTAATGTTAGCTTCGTTATGTTATGTCACTGATATGACGAATGACAGTGAGCGAGCATGGCATTTGGCCTGGATAGATGCTTTACTTAATCTCGGGTTATTAATCGGTTTGCTCAGTGGTCCATTAATATTTGAGGAATATGGGTACACCATTGTTTTTAGTATTTCGACCGTGTTGAGCATTATAGCAACATTGTACATATTACTTGTTGTTCCGGAGATTGTACAAAGATCTTCTTCTGTGAGTGTTTAAAAGTATTATTTCAAACGTTTGTTCGGTGCTTGATCTCTCACTCTTAAAATCTGAGATAGAACAAGTATCGCTGTAAGATATAAAATATAATATATAATAATGCATTTTTATAGGGTATCTGCAAAATATTCGATTGCACACTTGTAAAAGATCTTATAGACACGTGTGTCAAAAAGAGAGATGGATTTGATAGATTGTTAGTTTGGTGCTGCATAACTTGTCTTACAATTCTCTTGATCACCATGCAAGGCGAAATCGCTATCGAGTATCTGTTTGTAAGCGCGCAGCTTGGTTGGACTGTAAAACAATATTCCAATTATGTAGCCATAAATGTCGTGCTCGGAATAATTGGTACGCTATTTGGCATCAAAATAATGCGAAATTACGCAGGTACCGTTTTTTTCTTAACATCCGAGTCTTTTTAAACTATTTAAGAGAAATACCGACTAATTTGTGAAATACATTAAAATCAGGAATGCCAGAAGCATTACTTGCTGCAACATCTGTTATGTCATCCCTTGGTGGTGCTTTGGTGTTAGCTTTCACGTGGCAATCCTGGCATATGTATTTGTCAATATTTATAACCATGTTTAACGGGATATCTAAACCAATGATTCGCGCAATATTGTCCAAAGCAGTACCTGTGCAGGATATAGGTAAAGTTTGCATTTTGATTTTAACATATCAAATTGTAATGCATATACACACACGCAGAATATTTTTGAAAATGTGTGTAGAATTAATTAAACACTTGTTATCTTTCGAAGATATGATTACATCAATTTCATAATGAATACACTTATTTATATACACATATTTACAGGAAAAGTTTTTTCTCTGGCTACGTCTCTAGAAACAGTGTTACCATTTGCGGCAGCCTCTCTGTACACTCTTCTTTACACCAAATATATGCCACCTTTGTACCCTCAACCAGTTTGGTTTTTATCAGTAACATTTTATATTATAACTATTATAATACTGATATATATTCAGGTAAAAATAATCAAACGCAACGATATAGCTTACACTTCGGTGACAGAAAGCGACTCTGCTAGTTAATTTATTCATTATTTTTATCAAAAAATGTTAACAAAATTGAAGCCAAGTGATAAGCAACTCTAGTTATATTAAAGTGATAAGCAACTCTAGTTATATTAAAAATTAAAAAAAAACTATATTGCGCCCTCGACACTGTGGGTGTAGTCGAAGTCTCACTGCAAATGTTTCTAAGCATCATTCTATAATTAACGAGAAATAAAGATAAAATGCTTTGAAACATTTACAGTGAGGCTTTGACCCTGTGTGTCTTTATGTTTGAACGCGCAAATTTTAATCAATGTGATTGACTTAGATCTTTTCGTATCTCTCAAAAACTATTTATAATCTATATAATTATAATCAATATTTTGACATAAAAATGATATTAGAAATTTGATATTAGAAATTTGATATTAGAAATTGATATTAGAAATTTCTTTTTGAAATGATCTCAGGAATCTGATATTAAGAAAAGTGACGACAGTAGTTGTAGAATACTTTTTATATTATATGTATGTAATATAATATTGTAAAAGATATATATATATATATATATGTATATTTTATAATCTGTAATTTAGGACAATTAAGATTATATTTTTACATACAATGTGTGATTTATATAACCTATAAAAAAATAATAGAAATAAAATAAACTGTGATGAAGACTTATATTACCTTATAATTTCGACAATACTTGCTACAAAACTACCTTACGGCTTCTGCTTTTGGATGGCAACTGATCGACTCGTACCACACATATATTTACTGCGTTCGGTATTGCAAATCAGAGTAGTAAGAATGCTCTTTTATCTCAAAAGTTTTTGTAATGCGATTGATCGATTAGATTTATTTGTGTTCGGGTTTACACCTTTGACCTCTGTTTTGCAATATCGAACACAGTGCTGATAGCGCACTATCTAAACACAGTTTAATCGTTTACATAAACTTTCGAAAAAAACGTCATATAATTACATCAAATATCTCTGCGTGACTCCGATCGAGTCTTAAAGATTAAATGTCTACAATTCATCATAATAATCCACATGATCGGCCGATTTGTACTTATGTACCTTTAAAACTTGTACAAGACGATTAACTGTCTGTTCTGTAGTCAATACAGTATTTTTTTCTCGCATATCGTTAAATAACTTTCTGGCGTTCGAATCTACTATTTTTTCTCTTGCCATTTCAAACATGTCCGTGTCAACAGGACCTGGCGAATAACTAAGCACATCCACATCAGGATTTTCCAATGCAAATACCTGTGAAAGCATATTATTCGTAAATACCTTGAATAAACAATTAATAAATAATATAAAGAATCTTGAAATATATTGATAAATTTTGGAACTGTCTACTACGCGTTATTACTTATAATAAATAATGTAATAAATAAAACTTTAAAGATAAAGTACTTTAAAATATATATACACACCTTAAAGTACATTTCTCGTGCTGCTTTTACAGAACAATATTCACCACAGCCAACTTGTGCTTGAATCGCAAAAAGAGATGTTATATTAATAACCATCTTCTTAGTGTTATTGTCAAACGTATTCATAACTACTGCGTTCAAAACAGCAGGGACCAAAAAGTTCACATCATAAAATTCTCTCCAAGTATTTAAATCCGTCAACTCATTGACAACCTTATTGATGTTGCCCATTGTACCCACATTGTGCACTACGACCACTCGGTCAAATTCATTGTAACTAATATTTTTTAACGATCCAGATATGGCTTCTGTAAAAAAAACTATTTTTTGTAAACTAATTTTTTATAGCGTAATCTTGACAGAAAAAAACTCTTACCTTTCAAAATAGTTTCGGTAGCTTTAGCTAGATCTATACTAACTGTATGAACTATCACGTTGGAAGATATACTTTTTGCGACTTCTTGTAAAGCATTTTCACTTCTTGCTAGTAAAAGAACATGTGAGCCTTGCTGCAATAGCGAGCCGAATGTTATCGCAATTTGACGTCCAATACCACGACTTGCACCTGTTATCAGCAAGAAAACTTTGCCGGACAATGCTTCTATCGACATGTTTTACGTAGAAAGTTTATGGAAGTTTAATTATTCTTCCGACTTGTCTTCTGTTGATAATTCTGTTGATGGCTGGTTTGTTTGCAATTCGTTTGAGATATCTTGTTCCTGTTCAGCTTCTGTGGTCACTTGAAGCTGATCTGCCTTCAGAAGATGTACCAATTCACTGGCTGTTAAGGCCTGTGTAAAAAGATGTGAATATTTTTTACCAAAGTCACCACAAAGGAGCTTGATCTGAGTTTTTTATAACTAACGCTGAATTTTATTTCTTTCTAATTTATTTAATATTCTGAAATTTTATTTATCTCAGTAACAAAACCGACAATATTAATTTACTTTATTAATTTTTTACCTGTAAGTGTGGAGCAATATGCCGTATCAGAGGATTTGACACCAACTCAGCTTCTTCTTCGGAGAAAGGCTTATTACCAGAAGTGATTAAACGTGCAATACAATCTTCCTTTGCCGCTGATAATGATGTCACAAGGTCTTTTTTAGTTTTACCTCCTTGAAGAACTCTCAATCTCGTATCTGTCAAACACACATACGCATATTTGAAAAAAATATAAGAGTAATTTCTTACAAAAGAAACATATGGAAATATGGATTACACTTTGGGAATCAACTACCGACCTCTTAAGAATCTATTTTTTTGCTTATCTCTTGCTCTGAAATGACGTAAATTGATTCGATGAATTATATAGTACTCTGTCGAGCAATGAAGGAAGACGGAAAAGTTCCCTTTTTCTATACGTCGTTCACCTTATCACTCGGCTGTCGACAGCTGGAGCAGGAAACTGGAGTGAGCGGCGCATAGAAGGGGAAAAATTGTTTTCTCTCTCCCGTGAAACTGATTCATTATTCAGCAGTGTACAGCAAGGAATGGACACACCCATTAAAACCGACTGTTAGATTTATATATCTTTCATAAGCGGTCTTACACAATTTTTGTAAGTATTGTTCCGAGTCGGACAGCCGTCGGCATTCGATGTCTTTATCCAAAAAGGAATCCTCAAAGCAATTGTCGGGCCCGTCGTTATTGTTGACACCTGTTCCGCACCAAGGATCACTAACGTCGGTTTTCATTGTTTATAACTCAGATTTTTTTCCGCTCTTGATGCCTGATAATGGTTTTTTATACGTTTCCAATTTTTTGTTGCTAACTACTGATTGCCAGAAAGACAATTGTGCACGCCTGCGCGCGCATGCTTAAAACTCCGCTTTAAAATTCTACATACGTTACGTAGTTGCAAACTCACATGTCACGGGTCTTGAGGAATTTGATTCAATCGCACTAGTTAATTTGGTCAATCGACTAATGTGAACATATGATCAATTTTGCGAGATCTCTAAAAAATGTATTATTATTAAATATTATATTACTATTTTTTATATATATTTTTATTTATCTTGCATCAATAATAGAGATCACATTGATAAATGCACAACAGTGTAATACAGAGATGTGTATATATATATATATATATTACAATATATATGTTTTAAAGAATACTGCACACAAGTAAAATTGTTTATGAGACATATCTATATGTATAACGCAAATTTTTCTTGAATATACACAGACCGCTCTATAATCGTATGTGTACGAAATATTACATCTTGATAGAAGCTATAATAAATACAATAACACAACAAGTAAACATGTTTTGTGTATACAAAAAAAACATCTCTCTCCAATAGATAAACTTATATAGTTAAAAGTCGCATTATTTTCTCACAATGCTAAAATATGTCCTACGCTTGTACATTTCTTTCTTAAAAAAAACTTAACATAAATAAATATATATATATATATAATTAGCGCCAACAAATAAAATGGTATATAGTTTTTATTATCATTGTAATTATTCAAGAATAAATATATATCAAACTACAACATCGGAATGATCTTCTCTGTTACGTGCCAAAAATATAGCGAAGAGCTTACCCAAATATTGACTAAATCGGCTGTCCTTATAACTACTTCATACTAATTATAATTTCTGAAATATAAAGACAGACGGATATATTGAACCAACGTGTAATATAGGATCATCCATTGCATACAATATACATGTGCACTTGCCAATGCACTCAACAATACATATAGGGCATATGAGAATATAACAAGTACATATCTCTTTGTATATAATATTGTGTTTGGTAATTAAAAGTTGAAATACCACAAGATCTACTTCCTTTCTTGAGAATAAAACAATTCGTTTGTTTTTACAAACAAAAACATCTTTCTCTGAACTACAAAGTAGAACAGTGTTTCCCAATGGTTTTCACATATCAGCACATGTGAAAGACAAATGTTCATTAAAAATAAATTGTTTATTGTGATAATTGCAACTCGTAATGTTACATGTGTGCCAATGGACTGTTCGTACCTAAACTGATAATTATTGCAGTTCTTGATTAAAATAAATATATTCGCGCGTGTAAATATTGCATTTCTCTTATTTCGCTAATATAACTTTGTTTCTAACAATATTCTGATTGAGAAGCATTGTTCTAAAATCTCAATTGTACTTTTGAGATACTACCTTTTCTACTGTATATGTTGAAATATATTACGCAATATACAACTATATAAATACACATTTAGTTTATTATAATACCCATAGCAAGGTTTTTTATATTGCGGTCCTGCTCTCTGCATTATAGAAATCTCTTCCTATCGCTTTAAGTAAACTTTGGAAAAGAAACAAAATATTTCTAAATTCTCAAATCAGCGATAAGATTTAAAAAATTATCTTGTTTGCAATTGTCATTTCTATAGTAAATAAGATAAACATAAATGCATATAATTTTTGTATAAATTTCTCTATTCATTGTTCCTACCAATTTAATCATCTCTTATTTACATAATCTGCATAAGAAAGTAATGCGCTGTAGTAAATAATTTTTACACTAAAATCGGAAGATATTGCATGTGTAATCGGATATTTCCATTTTTTTTTACATGTTATCATGATGACTATACAATAATTGTACATCGTTATTATGCACAACAATCAGATATTTTCAAACATGAACATATTTTTAAAAAAGAGAGAGAGAGAAAGAAATTAAAAATTAATTTTTCACAAAATATTTTTTAAATAAGAAAGTTTATCTTTTTAAATAAGATACGTATATAACTATAAGTCAGCTTTCAGCTAATCCAAAACTACATGAGGCGTCCCACGTAAGTAATTATACAAAAGCAAGAATTATACAAAATATTCCAGTACTTATTTCTGCAACTAACCGAAGTAACATCTTTATTCTTATATATCTCAAAATATATGGAATTGATATATTGGTTTTCAGATATGCATCACAAAATGTAAGCTGATATTATTTCCTTTTATATCTATTGGAAACTTACTGTGACATACAGAAAATCTAGGTATCACCGACTATACTTTGCCACTAAATTTCTATTTCTACATAAATTACTACGATCTGAGAATGCATTCCTTTTAGTGGCCAAAGGAGGAATGTAGCACAGTGGCTATGTGCAATCAAAATTAGCATGAAATAAACTATACTTATTCTAGGCCACCTTCTTCCTCCAATTTGGATAAGAACTTAACAACTCTATAAGTCGGTTCCACTTGACGTGCCATGTCTATCAGACACAGTAACTTTTTAATACCAATAAATACCCTAAAATTATAAAAATAAATTAGAATAATTGCTTTCATTTAAGAATACTAACTTAAGAATATAAAGACCAGGAACTTACCGTTTTCCTTGAAGCTTTGCGTGTAAAGAAGCCATTTCATGTTTCGAGAAGAGATCAACTTCTTCCAATACATTCAACAAATGATCGGGAGTTGATAAATTAGGCACATGAAGAATAGTATTAAATGCTGAGAGTATTTCCAGATCATCTAATACTTGTCTACAGAGACGAGAGTGTATTATTAGAAAAATATATATCTCTTATAATGTGTTGTTTCAGTTACGTATTAAAAAACAAAAAAGAGTTATACACAAAGAATATATATACAAGCAAAAAAGAGTTCTTATTTTACCTGCGACTAGAAGTGCATAGAATCAATAGTTTACGACCTGGAGGCGGCGTCTTTTTCAATAATAATAAAAGTGCTTGCAAAGTTAGATTAGAGTATCTTGGCCCAATTGGTCCGTAATCTAATAGACGTTCTATGTTATCGACTAAAATACAACTGAGCTGCGAACGATACGCATCATCAAATACCTAAAATAAAAAAAAAAAATAAAAAACAATTAAAGTAGTTATTAAATTTATCACAGTCTTTATTAAATATAATCAAGAAATTAATATTTATATATTCTTAAATATTAAGTATAAGTAGAATAATATAAGAAATAGAAAATATGATAAATTGATTTTTTACGCTTTCTTACGCTTATATATCAATCTACATACTATGAATAAGAAGGAAAGCTATGTTTGTCAAGATCAATGAGACTAGAAAGGAGATGAAACATAATACATTACCTTCCTTATAGAAAGACACTTGGCTGATTCAATATAACCAACCATATCTTCTGGTGTGCATACTTTAACAAATGGAAAGTCAGAATTCTTTGCAATTTGCGCGGCGAGTGCTGTCTTTCCACTATTCGGTGGTCCTTCCAAAAGAACAGACACAAGCCCAGCTCCCTCAGTTGCACGGGCTTGTTGAATGCACAAAGTACCATCAGCAAGAATCTCAGCCACTGGCTTACCCCAATTGATAATTCCACGCGTCAATAATTGAGTCAATTGTTCAGCACTCGTACCAAATGCCTGAGAAATAAATATATATATGCTTAACTATTCTAAATAATTTCTTATTTTACTCTATAAATCAACTAAAATTTAATTTAAATTTTCTCACCGGTTTAACATCATGCTCCAACGCATGGAAAAAGTCACCTCTGGTCACCATGAGTTTTTCCATCGCAGCTGGATCTACTTCCACCTTGTTAGAAGCTTTAATTAATCGATTCATAGCAGTACTTTGTGCTGCTCTGACTAAACCTTCTAACTCCGCACCGCTGAAATTTTTCGTTGACACCGCCAATTCTTTTAAATCTACATCAGGCGCTATCTTTTTGTAATCTTTCATTCGGGCTGTGTGAATATTGAGAATTTGAAAACGTCCATGTTCATCGGGCAAGCTTATTTCCATTTGTAGCTAACATTAAAAAAATGAAACATATACATTTTCCAATTACACATTTAAGTATATATTTTATTAAACAAAATTCAATCTTACCTCCAATCTCCCAGGTCTCAACAAAGCTTCGTCAATCATGTCTCTTCTATTAGTCATACCGATAACGAGAATGTTATTTAGTTGTTCGACACCATCGATCTTTGCAAGTAACTGATTAACAACTGTATCGTGAACTCCTGTGTTTCCGGCAACGCTACCTCGCGACTTACAAATGGCATCTATCTCGTCGAATATAATTATATGAAGTCCACTGTTTGGACCAAGCTAAAAACATATCAAATTTTGTTTTCTTTTTAACTACATGTTTGTAAAATCAATACAACTTTCAATTTTTAAATACATACACTATGTATAATATTTTCTCAACTCTTGACACAAATACAAATTTTAAATTTTTTACCCTTTTCTCTTCGTCTTCTGCATCAGCAAACAATCTTCTGATGTTAGCTTCACTTTCTCCAACGTATTTATCCAAAACTTGTGGACCATTTACAATTTTTGGCTCCCTTGCATTTAACATCTTTCCTATTTGCCGAGCCATTAATGTTTTTCCGGTACCAGGAGGTCCATATAGTAAAATTCCTTTTACGTGTTTGCATCCCAACTGGGTGACAACCTCCGTCGGGAAAACACGAGATGCGAATGCTCTTCGGAAAATGGCGCTAAATTCTTTGTCCAAACCGCCAATACCCATTTTCTGGAAGTCCCAATCTGGATTTATAATCGCTTGTCGAACTGCTTTTCCCTTAGCTTGTCCAACGAGATTCAAGCTAGAATTTTCTGCTTTCTCAAATTGTATCACGGTATCGCCTAAGCACCGACCCAGTTTGGTTTTCTTGGGTACTGTGCTTTGTCCTGAACTAATGGCTGATAAATCGGCAGCTTCCAAACTTTTAACAACCAAGCCAAGCAATTTCTTATCTTTAAACTGGAATGCCAGCTGCTGACCCACGGTGAATGCCTGGCCTGAAAACTGTAGCAAAAAATCTTTGGCCATTTCATCTGTATTGTATGGCTCCAAAGTGACACTGAAACGACAATTAATAAAATAAATAAAAATTAACAATACTGCCGGTAACATAATAAAAATGCAATAGTTTTTCCAGTCTTATTTAATAAACAATTAAGAGCAATATTTTTTAAATTATGATATAGTAAATAATATATATATAATCATATCAAGAGTCAACACTTAGTCACTTAACGTACGTTTTTTTCTGCAAGAAGTCAGCTTCCAAAACAATGGTACATAGACATTCCGTGTTTGAAGTTGGATCAAAGTGATAAGGTCGAACTTCAATTTCTTGATTAAGAGACAATGTTGCCCATTTTCGTTGGGGCAAGCTAAAACCAACCGTACAACGTGGAATTTCATGATGTGTTCTCACAGTGAACACAAAATGATAATTCGGTGCTGTGGTTACTTCAATGTGTCTGTAACAAAAATAACAAGTACATAACAGTTGAGATATTTATTCAAACTCACGTGTAAAAATTTACACAAAAAGAAACAAATACATATATATATATATATATATATATATTTATTTCACAACAAATATCCAGCATAAGGCTCTCAAAAAACGTTTAAATTTCGTGTTGTCAGTTCAAAATTTAAGAGCCTGGTGTATGTCTCTCGTCTATGGCCACTGAGTCATTACATTGAATTAAATTGAAACTTTAAGAGCCTAAACTTTTTATAAATTGTTAAGATATTTATATTCTTAACATAGGTAACAATTTGTGTGTGTATATACCACACACACACACACACACATACACAATGGATATATAAAGATACGTGCATCCGCACATATATATGTATATATGTAGACGTATGTATCTTTATTTTTAATATTTTTATATGTCTTTGACACAAATGTGCCAATCGAGGGTTAAAACATACATATGTAATTGTAAAAAATAAAAAAATAAAATTTAATTACGCACTATTAAATCCATTGGCTTTTATTGGGTTCAATGTAATTTTTAAAGTGCAGACACGCGCGCAAAAAAACTGCCACATAATCCAATATAAAAAAAAATCGTTAGAATGCGCGCAATAATAATAAACTCTTACCTGACATCGTCGGGAAAATCGTCAGCATTAATAATAGCACAGTTGGATAGACTGAGCTCGTCTGTAGGACACCTCACTGCTTTCATCCGCTGAATCAGACAAAAATACGTTATCTCGTATTTTATTCACGACACGCACAAAAAAAAAGCTTCAACGAAACAGTATCGATGCGGAAGGATGGACAGCAGTAAAAAAAAAATTGTGTGTTTTACGTGATAACGCGTTGTTCTTGTCTTTGGAAAATTGATCGGAGAGAATTTTTTTGTGTGAGAAGATCATTTTCTCAACGAAGCTCGAAAATTTGCCAGAAATCAAAGTCGCCGATTTGTTTTGCGTGACAGTACTCACCATCGTTGACATTATCTTACGAAAATCAACAGAGTTTAGTAACAGTACCACTGTACGTGTACATTAGCGCAACCCAACGCAACCCTCTCTCTGCTCCTTTTGGTATTGATGCAGCTGTTCATGCAGCTGATCATGCGCAAGTGGTGGCACTATCATCGCCCTCTCTAACCATTTTAAACTGCCTACCAAAATATTTATTTGCTGAAGACGTGCATTGTCTAAAAAAAAAAAACGGCGTCAATCGGTATCTTTTATCATTTTCAGGTATCTTTTTATATATATTTGTTTTTTTTCAGCACGCATATTATTTATTAGAATTTGTCTTTATATTTTATCGGCGATTTATCTGATAACTCTTCCGTTTACTCGTAGCATAAACTCACATTTTTTATTCATAGAACGCAATTGTAAAATTTACAATACATATTAGAGAGATGTGTTAGAAATTGCACGTTATAGAACATAAAAGCGTTGGACGAGTGCAAAAGTTTCAACGAATTTTATGATAGAAAAATGAACTGAGTAATTTTATTAAAAATAATTTGTGTAATAATTTGTGTATTAAAATTAATTCTACATTCTACTAAATAATTTCCATTGTTTTCTATTACCCTTTGCTGTGTTGTACTTGATAAAGTGAATAAATCATTTTAAATAAAATTTAGTTTTTCATATATCACTGCTTTTAACTAACGATTATATCAGTATCACTATGGTGTGCTGGCTGACATTGACGTGTCGCACGTGTTGTAATTGTGATGTTTATACGTAGGACCGCATATGTGTAATGTGAATTGATGAATTGTGTGACAATTGTGTTTGTAGAGTTTGTTAAACATATTGAAACTAACCTTGATTTTTAACAATGCAAACACAAATATTAATTTCAACACAAAGTAGTTCTTAGTATGTTACATAAAACAAATAAGAAACAGATAACATAGGTTAGAAAATTTATGGTTTTGTATATTTTTGATGGAATTTTATATTTATGATATCTACATGAACGAATAATTCTGATTCTTTAAAAACTGAAAGCACGTGTTATTAAGGAAAATTTATTTTAGATTTGTGTTACGTTTTTTTGTATTTATTACAGCTTCTTCTCACAAGATAGAAAAGAATCATGGATCGTAGCAAACCAGCAGTTGGTAGAGGAGTTAAAAGTAAAATTGCCCAACATCCTTCCGATTTGTTTGCACTGGGATCAAAAAGTTCAAGGAATGAAACCTCCGATTCGAAAACCAGACCGGGTGTCATCAAACCAAGTGGTAGTTCTATGACTTCTGGTAAGAGGCGTTTGCTTATTTCCAACTGCTTGTTCCGCAATAATTAAGTGCGGCAATTATTCTTTACTCTGTCGTACACTGTTCATTCTTATAGGTGATAGGAAAAAAGAATCGCCCTCTGGATCACTTCAGTCATTTTCATATATTCCACAAAAGAAGCCCAAGTTAGGTCATGGTATTGGTTCCTATCAGCGGCAACCTTCTTCCAGTGCAGAAGCATGGGAAGTTCTAGCTATAGACACCGATCCCGCAGACTTTGTACCTATGGCACTCGAGGCTAATGATAACGATGAAGCTGACAAAGTTATCGGGATAATATGCGGCGCAGTTAAGACACTGAAGAATCAAAAATGGAAACCCGATATGTTAATTTACATGGGCTTGTTATATTTAGCGAAAATTCGCCCATCGATTTTCTCAAATGATTGTATATTACACGCACTGTCGTCTCTCTTAAAGAGGGATCAAGCTTATAGCTACAAGAGTAAGGGAAATCCACTGGTTCCGGTACTCGCGGCTAATCTTTTAATGAAAGGATTTCACGATAAAAAGAACTGGCCGGAAATATTTGTGAAGGTTGTGCATATAAAAAATTGTTTACATTGCTTGTGGTTTTTTTTGTTTACAGTTTCAATGACCAAATGTTTTATTTCTACAGCTCTACGTTGAGGATGCTCTTGGTGAGCGCGTGTGGGTCGATCACGAGGAATGCAAGGGTTTTGTCGACAATATCTTGACCGGTTTTAACACAAGGCATCCTCCTAAATCTGTGTTGCAACCAGAATTTCCAGTGCTAATGCAACGAGACTGTCACAGTCCATCTACAATAGATGACGAAGATCCTACGACATCGGCAACATCACTGTCCGGAGATAAAGAAAAGATTGAGTTTCCAGTTGGTCCGCGATACGCGCATTGCATAGAAAACATAGAATCAATAGTTCTAGAAGCCGTGAAGGAGCAATTGAACAGACGTCAGGCTGAGACTATACATCCAACGAGAAATTTTTTAAAGCTGCTTTCTTCAGCGTGTGGGTTCGTTGAAATCAGATATATCGCGGTGCCGAGGCTCGAGGTGTGGCTGCACAATCCCAAACTAATGAGACCGGCTCAGGAACTTCTTATGTACGTTTGCTACAATTGCACGTCTCATACTCAGAGAGACGTCGATGTGATAAGCCAATTGGTGAAGATGAGATTAAAACCTAAAGCAGTTGTTAATTTGTATCTGAACGGTGTCAAGGAATTGATCGGTCTACATCCGGAGAATCTGGCTACTATATTGAAACATACGATTTACAACGAATTGTCGAACACGCGCAATCCGAACAATATGCTCATGCTGAGCGTGATGTTTCAAACTTTGCCGGAACGTGCAGCAAAATTGCTCGCGGAGATATTTCAGGAATTATTGATGAAAAACGACGATTATCTGAGACCGTTGCGCGCATTGCTTCGTGAAATCGTACGCGTGTGTCGCAACGACATCAATCTAATAGTATTCGCTCGAATGTTGATGGCCGATAATTCGGACCTGACTCAAAAGTTGATAAATTTCGAGTTTAAGGAACGTATGTTCATGTCGATAGTGGACCTCTTGTGTCTGTGCATGCTCTTAGGTATAAGCCCGCAAGTCAAGGAGGCGGCGACGTTGTCGCAACGAGCGGACAAAAAAGACGTAGCTGTGCTGACCCAGTTTCAAACTCTTGTGGGAGCGATACAATACGAGGCGGTGATATGGCTGCAGAGTTCGGCGCAGCAGATATACAGCATCGGACGAAATCGATCGGCGCAGCAGATGGACAGTATCGGACGAAACGAAGTGTTATTGCACGCGATGCGCAAGGTCCTGTTTTTGGAACCATCCGAGAATTATTACAAACTGGATAATTGGCCGCCGGAATCAGACAGATTATTTTACATACGACTGGTATCCGACGTACCTCTGTTGCAAAGCACGTTGTTAAGACTGTTGCTGATGGGTATAAACTCAAAGGTAAGACGCGTTTAGATTCGTGCAAAATTATTTTTATAAAAACGATTTCTCTCTTATTTACAGGATACTGATATTACCGCTTCGGAAGCGCTGGATTTGACCGATAAATTGATTCAGCGCGCAGCGGCTAATTCGACGGAGAGCGTTCCGATGTTACAAGTCGACAAAACAGACATAGTCGAATATATTTTTGATCTCAGCATTTATCGTCCACTGGGAAAAATAAATCTACCTGCTGGGTAAGTGCTCGTACGTGCATATCACCTTTATTACGGCTGTACGTCAATCACACATGCGTATGTTTTGTAGATACGTGGCTCCAAGATTGGCGATAGCTAATCTTTACTGGAAAGGATGGATAATGTTATTAGTTCTGGCCGCTCATAATCCATCCACAATTGGTTCACTAGGATGGAAACGATATCCTATACTGAGAACTTTGATGGAAATGTGTATCACAAAGTAAGAAAAAATTTATTACTGAAAATCGCCATCACAGACACATTTGTTTTTTTTGTTTTTTTATATCAGAAGTATTTGAACTGTTAGCCTTAACGTTCGAGTTATCAACGAAATCTTCGAATTTTGTAGTCATTTTTCGTATCCACCACCGACAATGACCTTGCCGGAGATAGCGGAGCAAGAACGCGCGAAAGAATTACAAATCGAAAGTATCGAGAAGCAAGAAATATTGGAGTACGAATCCCACTTGGCCGCGGCATCATCTAGAATCCAGCTGTCCGAACAAAATAGTTTCTTGTTGTCGCACGTGATTACCATGGATCCACAGGGAATTGCCAGAAGACCGCCGCCGGCCGTGCTCGAAGAAATAAAAAATTTGAACACATCTCATCGACTTGGTCATTTGCTTTGTCGATCACGTAAACCGGATTTTCTACTGGATATCATTCAAAGACAACAGCAGAGCTCGTCGCAGAGCATGCCCTGGTTGGCGGATCTGGTGCAAAATAGTGAGGGGTCTCTGAGCCAGTTGCCGGTGCAATGTCTCTGCGAATATCTTCTCTCGACCAGTCCGCAGACAGTCGAGAAACAGCCTAGACAGCAGCAGCTATTGGCTCATCTTCAAACTCTTTTAACTGATCCGAATCAAGATCAGCAGCATGCTTATGAAGTTTTAGAATACTTCCTAAGACGATTGAGCAGCCAACAGAGCAATAGTCGAGTTCAAGCAATTACTGGATTGAAAATGGTTCTTGATTCGATACCACTCGAGGATGAGAGTATGGACGTGGACGTGGTAGAATGCGAGAAGTAAATTTACGCTTTAATGTACATTGAAAAAAATGAATGACTGTAATATTATAATGATATTTTTTTTTTTTTTTTTCAGAGAAACCTGGCTTTTACGTAAACTGCCATCTATACCTCATTTCTTGTCAGTACGTTCGTTAGTTTCTACGGCGTTGCGTGGCGCGTGTCAAGTCGAGAACAGTCCAGATCTCGTGCACACTTACATTGCGTATCTGGCTGCACATACTGCCGATGATGATTTGCATGATTTGACTGATTTGGCCAACGAAATTTCTCAATTAGTTGTTGAGCGTTCCACTATTATTGTGGCTATCCTGCCGCAACCTGAGAGCGATAATCCACAAGCCAAGCAAACGCTGCACAATTTCATGGCAATCTTCTGCAATTACCTCGCGAAAGCGCGATTGCCTCGTGGAGAGAGTTATCCATGGTCCGAAAGCCAGGACCAAATTTTAGTACAATGGAGTTCCGGCGTGGAGTGTACTATGCATATCTTAGTAGTGCACGCTATGATTATACTACTTACGTATGACACAAGCGAAGATGATGAATTGTTCAATACCTTGTTAGAAACATGGTTTCCACTCACGGAACAGCCAAAAGCCTTTTTGGTGGATACTAGCGAAGAAGCGTTACTTATACCCGATTGGCTTAAACTACGAATGATTAGAAGTAATGTTCCACGATTAGTCGACGCTGCTTTGAAAGATCTCGAGCCGCAACAATTGGTTCTTTTTATACAAAGCTTCGGAATACCTGTATCATCAATGAGCAAACTTCTGCACACTCTCGACGCGGGTGTTCAGATTGATCCCAGTTCTGTCGGTGAGGCCGTGCTTGACAAAACGTATATGGCGCAATTGGTCGAAGTGCAACATCGAAGAGGCGCCACAGGCGGATTGGTATTTGTGCAAGTGTTACAGCTGATGGAACCACAATTGCCAGACGAGAATGTCGTATCGATCAACAAGTTGCATCAGCCATTACCGGCCAGCGCAACGGTACAAAAGCAATCTGTTATACAATGCTCCATCAAAACAGACGTGCCGCATTTGATAAACCGGTTATTCATCGAGAACATTCCGATGAGTCAGAAGCTAGACGCTTATCGGCGTTTACACAAAACCCTGGCCAAGGATCTACAGAAATCCAGCGCAAAGGAAAGCGGCGCAGCTGTGGTGGCGATCCAACACATATGCAGCGTTCTAAGCTCTATGCAAGTCGAGCAGTTTCTCGCCTCGCTCGTGCACATACCTCAGTACTCGTGCACGTTGATGCGCGTGATATTATTGCCACTTAAAAGACCATCGACGTCGAAACACGTGATTGACCTGGCGCGTAACATGTGTCTGAATCTGATCTCTCTGATAGGCGATGTCAAGGCGCCAATATTGTCGATTCTGCAGGATTTCGCTAACGTGCAACTGACCAAGACTCCACAACGCGCGGAACTATCGATGTTGATGAATCGTGGCGAGAGTCCGGGTTCAATATTAGAAAACACGGATCCCGTTAATCTAGAAGGAGTGGGCAGAAAATTGTTAGACTTATGCTTGAAAGAACAGAAAAACGACGATCTCGTTGAAGCTATGGCAAAATTATTGCTCAGCGACAGCAACGAAAGTATGTTGAAACCTCGCATGGGTCTGTTGATTGACTGGCTGGCTTCTGTTGAACCCGAGTTGATCGGCACCTGTCCCAGTCTTCAAATGAAACTTATGTTTGGAAAAGTCAAGGTTCACATCAATATCGACAAGAGCGTAGCAAGTTCACATTCTTGCAGACCTTACTTGCTGACACTGCTAACGCACAGCGCGAGCTGGGCTACTTTGTACAAATGTGTCAGACACTTGTTGGATAAGTGCGATAACGAGTAAGTAAAAAGCGGAAATGAATACTCCATTTTATTTATTTATGAGTATAATTTTTAACAAAGATAACTTTTACCTAAAGTTGATAATAATTTTTATACACGTGTGCGCAGATATGATCCAACTGCGGTTTTGGATTTCTTATGGGCTCTGACGTGTAATCCCAAGTTGTGGCAAGGTCGGGATAAATTCACGCCGAAGCATTATGTTCCTGAAAACATTTTACTGTTGGAAGAACAACAGCTTCTTAATCTAGTGGCGTATATAGTGTCCGAAGCCGTTGTTACATCTGTTATGCAAAATAGAAACGCCGCCCTCGCAAGAATGGACATAAGACTCGATCTTCTATTACATTGTATATCTACCGAAGACGAACGAATTTCCAACATAGTCAATTACTTGGCGGAACGCATGATGGATAAAACTGAGTATGAACTTCACACAGTCGCGTATATTTTGCGTTACAGATTTTTATATCGTTCATCACTTTTTTAACTAGTGGAAAACAATCTTATTTTATTTGCAGCATAGACTCTGCAAATATGGCTCATCAATTTTTGCTGCATATGTACATGAAAATTCCGAAAGTTATTTGCTATCTTGACACTTTCCAATCGAAAAAGTTCGTTAGCGGGGCCAAGATAACCGATTGGACAGGCTCGGTGCTCGATTGCATGAGCCATTGTTTGTTGACCGCTCTCGCGGCTACTCCGCGACAAAAATCTTGGAATTCCAAGTCTCAGGAATTTGAACTCTGTGCGAGAAAAATGGCCGCAGTGCATCCTACACTTGTGCTGCGACAATTACCGATGCTCGCGTCTTCCTTGATGGGAAGATGTTACCTTGATTTTATTCACTTCAGATCCGGTCACCATTTGAATCTTTTCAATCAAGTTATGGGACTGTTGGAACTGCTACAGCCCCACTTATTCAACAAGGAACACGAGACTCCGTTGGAGAACACTTTGGAAAATTATTTCCAATGTTTTCAGGTAATTGCAATTCTCATGTGTTCTTTTCTAATATATATATTTTTGCAACGTCATATATTCACACAAAGACCATGTGATGTTGCGTGTTTTCAGAATTATGGATACGTGAAAGATCTTGTTCCGTTGCTGAACAGATTCGTATCGCTGCTACAATCGTACATTTCGCACGACCCACAGCGAGCAATGAGATATTTACAAAAGCACGCGCAAGTTCTGCAGTGAGTTGCTTTCTTTTTAATTGTACATGTTTATTGATTATTGATTTATGTAATTTTACATACACGCGCTCATATGTATGTAGCGAGTTGCAGCTAAATTATCCTAACTTGGTCGCTTTGAGAGCACTTGTGTCGGGAATACCGATACCGAGAGAGGGAGAAGACGTGGACGATATGCCGATAGCTGTAGCTCCCATGCCACAACCTTCAGAACCCACGCAACACTGGCAATCGCTGTTGACTACTCTCGCAAAGTTGCACGGAGAAGGTACAAAAAATAACTTGTTATTATAAAGATGTTCTCTCTCGTAAATTACATAACTATGCAAAAAATGTTAATAGGCAAAGAAAATTTGTTTTTTTCTCTTTATTGACTGCTACGATTCTTAGTCCAATGGCTGGAAGGTCCAACTCAACCATTTTGAAACCATTTACGGCCGTTTTCTAAAATTTTTTCTCTAAATCTCTTCTTTTTTAAATCTGATATCGTAAATATTCTCTCTGGCAATGTAACGCGAACACAATTTTATATAAACCTTTCTTTGTTCTCCGCACAGATGTGTTCAATGCGCTTCAAGAGATCGACCATGTGTCGTCGCGAAAACCTTCAGTCTTGGAGTCCATAACGGACAACATATCGGAGCTGCTTATGTCACCACAGAATAACGTCAGAACTCTGGCTCACAATCTGCTTGCTAGAGCATTGAAGCATCGTCCGACGTCACACGCAAACATACTGTCCGCGTTTCAAAAGTGCTTGGACAGTCAAAGAGCGGATGTTCTCATGTCAGCTTTGGAGAAACTGCCGGATATCGTCATGTGTATGCAAGGTAAAAAACGGTCGATTCCGAAAACCTACCTACGAACTTGTGCGTTTTGATGTTGCATAATTGAAAATATTTTTATATTGCAGAACACGCTTTACCGCTGATGCAGAGAGTGTTTGAATTGGGAGTAAATTCGAACGTCAACACGTTACCTTTTATCAACAAAACTATTGCGCTGTTAAATACGCAGCAAGGTTGCTAATGAGAAATAGATTAATCTATCTTGTAAATATTAAACGTATAATTTTTTACTGTTTGAACTATTAAACGGAAGGGAAAGAGATGTGTCATTTTTATTCCTCTCTCTCTCTCTCTCTCTCTTTTAAGACTGCAATAAAGGAATATATTTGAATATAAATAAATATAAGTCTCTTGTTTGTTGCAAATTTTTCATAGCCATGTACGTATATATATTATTGATATAAAATTAGTATACAAAGTTGTGTAATTACATAAATTTTATTGAAAAGCTTCGGAAGGAACGTCATTTACCGAATAGTTTTTCATAAATGTAGTGATTGCTTGTCTTATGTCCCACTCTGCCCCGTCGAGATACTTGTAACAGTATCGGATGTTCATTGTAGTCAGTTCACGTAAAAATCTAAGCAACTGTTCCTTTTCCGACACACTGAGTACCGTTGGTGCGAACTTCGGTATGGATTTCGGTTCAAGTTTTACATCGTTAATCATATTGGACGGTATACTATCGATATGATATTGATCATTGATGATGCAGTATTCGTTGTCTTCTTTTCGTGTGATAATGAAAGTTCTGTTGAAGAACATTGGCAGACAGAATGACAATCGATACAAAAATATTCCTTGTACAGAAATGACTATGCAATTATCGTCTTCGTGCAACAAGTCAATGTGAAATGTCTTGTAGTTGTGTATTGTTTGTGGCTGATGTTGAAGAGCGTTGATTATCTTTTCAGGTCCCCAAAATAATGATTCGTGACACTTGGCGTAATCGACAAATTTCAATAGATTTCTATTTATAATGAATGATTTGACTATGTCTTTATGTACATTTGTTGCGGTTGTGCCTAATGTCATGGAATAGAGCGCATTTCTATCGTAAAGACCGTTCATGACTATTCTGTCTTCCTGATCGTATAACGTAAAAAAATGCTTAACAAATTGTTTGATCAGAGAAATTCTCGAGCCATTGCCAAGATAATTGCTGTATATGCTTGGCACAAATTTCTTCTCCATTCCTATAACAATCCCGTCTAATTTCTGCAAGTACGGAAAGACATTTTTCACAGCTTGTATGTACTCCTGGGAAGTTGCGTACTTGGTGCACAAAGGATTTCCATCCAACCAGAGTTCGTTTATCTTAAATTCGCAAAAATAACAAAGATATTCCACATCCAAAATCTGATTGTGTCTCAGATCAAGTTTGGTCAAATGATAACTGAAGAACTTTTCGAACAATATAATGGCCGTGAGTTTATTGTACTTCAGACTCAATTCGCGAACAGGCAAACGCAACTGCTGGGACTCGCATTTAACACCTAAAATTCCCATTCTGCTGCAATGCAAAACCATCTCGAAGATTCTCGGTATATGAATGGGACAGAATATCGAACCCAACGCTTTTTCATTTTCAAAATCGTCCAGATTGAATATCTTCTTTACCGGTTCGTATCTGGTGAACAAGGCTTGGGCTATAACTTTGTTTATATTCATTTGCAGCTCCTGAGTGCTGAGAAATCCCAATACAATGTCTATGTACAACTCTTGACCTTGCAACGTTACGCACAATCCCTGCTTAACTAAATTTTCTATGACATCCTTCTTGCACTTCGCCAGAAACGTGCTTTTGTTCTTACCCTCGACGTTGTACATGACCGGCACGATAATCGCCGGCTCGCAGGCGCTTACGACGGCACGTAGAACCTCGTTTCCCCGATACAGAGCACCGTCGAAGACGATGAATTTGTGCCATACGTCGCAATTGGCAAGAGCTATCTCGTGGCTATCTAACGAGGGCTTCAAGTGAGTAATTCGATGCGGTTCCCACGAGGACGTTTGATTTCCCGACGATGTTGTTGAAGATGCCATTGTTTGTCATCAGAGAGAGAAGAGAGAAAAACAGTCTTTTCTATTTATTTTTCTTTTTATGTTAAATCACCTGAATTGTTTTAACAATATAATGGCGTTATTAACCAAATTGATGTCAGTTAACAAATAGATATTAGTACTTTGTGTTGCACAAACCTTTTTATATACCGAGTTTACATTAAAGAGATTCTTATGAAACGACACACACACACATATGTTTACATGTGTCGCACGGTAGTGATCAAGTTGTGCTACATACAAATGCTTTCAAACATTTCGAGCATCATTCCATCTTTGTCTATTGTTTATATTTCTCAAAGGAAAAGAGAATAGTGTCGATAGCATTTGTAGAGTGACTTGGATCCTGTCTTTCCGGTTTGAGGTTAGGGTTTAATGTGACGAAGAATCTAACGCGCACGCAAGCAAGTCCCACACAGTTTGGATTATATATTCGATTTCATTTCTTCATCTTACAAAACTACTAGCTTCATTGTATAAATTTCAACTTGTAAGTATGGTTGTGGAAACATTGGCCAAGTATATAATATATTTTTACATTACCGTGTATAAAAGAGATCTCAAGTAAGAGAAATCAGTATACTTTTTCCGTTCTCTTGGTTAACATTAGATTGTTTCACATTTATATACTGACAAAATTGATATATATCTAAAAATATAGACTATATATATATATCTTTTTGAAAGATCACTTTAAATCACATTCAATAGTTTTTCTAAATATTGTGTCTAATTTTGTGTTTTTTTACACAGAAGAGGATTATATACATCTCAACATAAGTTCAACAATGTCAAAAGTGGATGAGGAATTAAAACAAGCTTTCACCAAGTTGCAAGAAAAAATGAGGGACACTAAGCAGAAATTGAAATTGGCTGATATAGAAATAGAAAAGCTGAGACGCATAAAACATTGGTCGGAACTCACTGTTAAGGAAATTGGCTGCCTTCCGGAAGACACAAGGGTTCACAAATCTGTCGGTCGAATGTTCGTTGCGGAGGATATAAACGAGATGAAAAACGACTTGGAAAATATAGTAAAAACGCGCGATGAGAAAATCAAAATGTTAGAGAACAACAAAATGTATTTACAGCGAAGTTTAAAGGAGAGTGAAAATGAAATTCGCGAGATGATACAACAAAAGCAAAATAAAGAAACTTCTGGTTGAGATGTTGTACGCGTCAATATGTGAGAACACTGTTTCTTTTAATAACAAATTCTCAAATCCTTCTCATCCTTTTTTTAACATTTGAATCCAGTTGTTTTGTTGATGTGGTAATGGACTGGATTGGAACATCAAATAGGTGGTTAATTAGTGGAAAAAAAAAAAAACAAACAATAAGTGGACATTTGTCCATCCACTAATGAAACATTTGTGTGGGTTTGACATAAATCTTGTCATCAGCTGGAAGACGTTATTTATGCAATTTTTTAAATGATAATCTTTGTATAACATATTTGGAATAAAATTCTTTGTTCAGGAACTCCTGATAATTGAATTCAAATTTATTTATATCATTTTTTTTTATTTTATATTTAGTTTTATATTTATGAAGCATTGCTTTGTGACTATTGCCTGTTATTGGCCTATTCCTCTATATCTGAAAGTATCTACCAATTAGAGATATTTCTAGTTACCATAGTTGTTATCTCTAGTTAACCATCAATTTATCTGGATCTAACCTAACCTAATCCTAATCTATATTCTAACCTAACCTATGTTTGCCGGCTGAACAAACTTGTGACAAAGTGGACAAGAATTGTGTTTATTTTGCATAAAATATTGCATAAAATATTGTTTGTAGATGTGCTAAAAGAATTTAAACTAGAAACATAAAATAAAATTAAATTGTTTTATCAAGACAACAAAAAATGTCGACGTTAATATTAAGATCTTTTGTATCGCCGTTGAATCGGAGTTCTGCCAATATTTTCAAAAAGGTATTTCTCGTGATAAAAAATATTTACATAATTAATAAAGCTTTATGTGAGTCTAATTAATGGATTTTATTTTTTATTCAGTTTAGGAACATGAGCACATCAAAACAACTTTGGCAAGAATCTAACTTGCCTAAAATACCTCCAAAAATTAAAAAAAAATCACCTATTACATGGAAAAGTTTGACAATTTCAAGTGTTATTGGTGTTGGTATCTTGCTGTATATAAATCATTTAAAGAATGAAAAAGACAGAATGGTTGCAAAAGAGAGAAAACGGCAATTGGGCAAAGCTAAGATTGGAGGAAAATTTGAATTGGTGAATACGGAAGGAAAAACAGTAAAATCTGATGACTTTTTAGGCAAGTGGGTGCTAATATATTTTGGATTTACACATTGTCCAGATATTTGTCCGGATGAAATTGAAAAAATGGCAAAAGTGGTAGATATACTTGGTAAGTTGAGATTAAATTATTAATTTATAGCTGATTGAAAGACAGTTACAGCTTTGTTATTGTGGTCTATTTTTATTTACAGAAAAAGAACATGATATAAAAATACAGCCACTTTTCATATCAGTGGATCCGGAGAGAGATACACCTGTCATTGTTGGCAAATACATCAAAGAATTCTCCGATAAAATCATTGGCCTCACAGGGACCAATGAACAAGTTGCAAAAGCGTGCAAAGCTTACAGAGTTTATTTCAGTAGTGGTCCGAAAGACCAAGATGAGGATTATATTGTTAGTACATTATGAACTACTACACTGTAGAGAACAATGTACATAATTTAAAATTGCACTAATTTGTGTTTTTTTGTTCAGGTTGACCATACTATTATCATATACTTGATCGATCCGGAAGGCTCGTTTGTCGATTACTATGGACAAACACATGATGTAGACAAGATCGTAACAAGTGTTATTGTAAACAAGTTAAAATACGACCAATTAAAGGGTGATTCTTATTCTTGGTTCCCGTCGTTGCCGGTCAAAGGAGTGTTATAAGTGCCGTGACATTCCTGTCAAATTATTTTTGAATTAGTATTGTACAATGAAAGGTTTTTATGCCTAACATTTATGCATATAGCATATTAATATATATTATATAACAAATATAATATATATATATATGTGTGTGTGTATGCATAATGAGCATTGTGTATATATGTATAATAATTTAGTTTTGGCAACATAATAAATTGATAAAAAGTGGATGGAAGAAGGTATTTGATTTGATGTGGAAAACCTTGGATTTGCACAATCTATATATATGTATACACGATAAATATAATAAAAGATTTATTACATATTGTTTTTACTTTAATATAAGTTTTTCTTACATTTGTTTTTTTCTGTAAGTTTTGTACATGTTACAGTACGTTAATCTCTAATGTGCACACTTACATACACGCTTATAATTACGTCTTATAATTACACATATTTACATACACATACAAAGCTTTGAGAGATAAATTTGTATTTCTCTGAAACATTTGTATATTTATATTTCTCTGAAATCTTTGTTTTTTACAATTGACTCTTCACGATAATGTAAGACAATGCCATTAACGTCTTCTTCACAAAAGGTTCAAACGTTTATGTATCGAATAGCTTCGCACTATCTTTTTTTTATGTAGTAACTTTAAAAAATAAAATTCCGTTATAATAAGAACGTTTTACAGTGTTGTGATGTAAATAAGGAAAACAAAGAATAAAGAGAAAAACGAGCGCAGAATGAACAAAAAGAAATTGAGAGTCAGTAGAGTTAAGTTTTATGATTGTAAACCAAGTTCGTGACAATTTGGCTGCGAGTCTAGTAGACTTGATTGATTTGGTAGGAGCTTTACGTTTATATTATTATCCTAAAATATTTTGCTGCTATCGCTTGTACTTAAAAAAATAAAGCAATAAAATAAACTAATTATTGTTAATATCTCAATTGTTTTAAACAATTGTAAGAAATCATGAACGTGGGGATTGTTTTATTAGTAGTTGCAAGACAAAACATTTTTATGTAATGAAGTTAAACAATCTGTTTAAAAAAATGTTTCGAGTTCATTTATGTTGTTAAATAATTTAAGTAAAATTACAAATGAGAGACAAACTGATGGCACATTTTTGCGCGCGATGTCGAATTATAATATATATTTGAAAAGAAAGATGTATGTCAACATTTAATGAGATGCGCGCTTTTGTCCAATTTATTCTCTCTATATACATTGAAATCATGACGGACATTGAACATTTTTTATAATATTGATATATATCTGACAGCTTCGTGTGTCACAATGACGCTGCAAAGTGTATTATATTTCGCAACGTCGAGATCTATCGATGAGATTTGTTTCACTATATATGTATATACATTGTATATTTTTTTCAGTACGTTTTCCAACAAATTCCTAAAAATATAAAAATATCAAACAGCAACTGTACATATTATTATTTTAATGTACATTTGTACAAAACGATCTTTCAACACCGGGTAACGCGTAAACAATAACATGAGATCCTTAAAAATAATAAACGAAGGATTAACACTCTGACTCAATTTTTTGTTTAAATAATTATATCATAAAGTCGAGTGATAAAAACGAAAAAAGAATAAAAAAGAAAAAAAACGACTGCACGCAGGCCTCTTCTTTTTTTTTATTCTTTTTTCTTTTATTTTATACCCAGCAAACAATTTCTGTTTTTGACAATTTCGGCGCAGACCTTGGTAACAGAAATTGTTTACAGAAATGCTACAATACGGAAACACCGCCAAAATTGTTAGCACACAGAAAGAAAAAACGCAACAACTCTGTTGACAAATACATGAGAGTATTGCAGCCAAA